GCTGGGGCTGGGTTTGGAGCCTGGGCTCTGGGACCCTCTCAATTTGTAGACATCCCAGAACCCGAACGTCTACACAGAAATTTTACAGCTCCCTAGTCTAAACTCCACAAGCCTGAGTCAGCTGAGTTGGGCCAGCCACGCGTGTTCAGTGTAGACGTAGACAGAGTTCCCACTTTGCATCAGGTATTCTCACCTTCCTGCCTTCATCATCTTTTTAATAGTGTTGTGTTGGTTTGCCGAGGGTTGCCAACCCTCCAGCATTGTCCTGGAGTCTCCAGGAATTAAAGATTAATCATAGAATATTAGCATTGGAAGAGACCTCAGGAGGTCCTCTAGTCCAATCCCCTGCTCAAAGCAGGACCAATCCCAACTAAATCAATCCAGCCAGGGCTTTGTCAAGCCAGGCCTTAAAAACCTCTAAGGAAGGAGATTCCACCACCTCCCTAGGTAACCCATTCCAGTGCTTCACCACCCTCCTAGGGCAATAGTGTTTCCTAATATCCAACCTACACCTCCCCCACTGCAACTTGAGACCACTGCTCCTTTTTCTGTCATCTGCACCACTAAGAACAGCCAAGCTCCATCCACTTTGGAATCCCCCCTTCAGGTATTTGAAGCCTGCTATCAAATCCCCTCTCACTCTTTTCTGCAGACCAAATAAGTCCAGTTCCCTCCGCCTCTCCTTGTAAGTCATGTGCCCCAACCTCCTGATAATTTTTGTTGCCTTCCTTTAATTTAAAGATCTTGCCATGGGGTGAAACCTCCAGGAATATGTCCAACCCAAATTGGCAATCCTATCTTTGCCTGTAAGAGGTAGCTGCATTTCAGGGCTTGGTTCCAGAGACCACTAAGTACATTTCTATTTCACATTCAGTTTGATGCATTGCTAAAGCACTTTGTGGTCCTGTGTGATGGAACCCAAGGCAATATTAACCACACCAGTGAGACATGATTGTAGTGTTTAGGGTGAAGCAATTACAGATATGGTCATTTCAAAGACAAACAGACACAATCTCTGGATGCCAAATAGGCCCAGAAGAGCAGGGAGGGGATTATCTGCTATTTTTTAGAGACACAAAGTACAGCAACTCAGCAGGGAAATGTTGACTGGCAACAGCTAAAGGACATTGCATCATCTTTGTTGCTCCACATGAAATGTCTCGGGAGTACCGTGGGAAGGGAAAGGTTCTGCTCCCCCCAGGGAATTATTCATGCCCTTCTTCTCCAGTTTATCAGCTGCAGCTCCCATTGGAGTCAATGAGGCCTCAGCACCAGGGCCTATGTGAACATTGGGCCAATGACCAGGGACCATGCCAGGTCCAGGAATGTCTCTTGCCCTGGCCACACTCACAAATGCAGGGCAAACAGCTCAGCAAAATACACCGGGAGATTTTTCATTCACGGTAGTGAATGGCTAAGCTTTTGGAATAATTAATTCTCTTGATAGTAACTACTCTTAGCTGTTCTGAGGCTGGTCATCGCCTCTGCCAACAGCGATTTACACTGCTGTGTGCTAACAATGGCAGGAACTGAAGGATTCAATTCCTTGACACCGTTTATGATCATCCCTTGACTGTCCCTCCTCCATCTCCACCTTCCTCCCACAGGAAAGTGAGGCACTCAAGGGATAAGTAGTCTCTATGGGTGGCTGATGTGAAAATATATGACCAGCTCCTGAGACTTTCAGACTCAAAGCCTCCTGGGCATTAATTAGATGTTAATCATACTGAGCTGGCTAATGCAGTCTGGTGTAGCTCCATTGAACTGAATAGAATCATTTTGACCAAAGAGCAGTGGCTGAAAACATGGATGGTAATGCTGAAATAATGAAACTATGATAATACTGTTCTTAGGGAAATATTGCAAGGTGAAATTAGAGGAGCTCCCCCACCCTCTGCTGCCTCCCCCTGATGTTCATTATACAGTATAGTCACCCCTTCCCCACCCCCACCCTCTGCTGCCCCTAGTGCCCATGATACAGTATAGCCGCCCCCTTCCCCACCCCCACCCTCTGCTGCCCCTAGTGCCCATGATACAGTATAGCCGCCCCTTCCCCACCCCCACCCTCTGCTGCCCCTAGTGCCCATGATACAGTATAGCCGCCCCTTCCCCACCCCCACCCTCTGCTGCCCCTAGTGCCCATGATACAGTATGGCCATTCCTTCCCCATCTCCACCTTCTGCTTCCCCCTAGTGCCCATTAAACAGTATAGCCGCCCCTTTCCCATCCCCACCCTCTGCTGACCCCTAGTGCCCATTATACAGTATAACCACCCCTTATACAGTATAGCTGCTTCTTCCTATCTTTTCCCCTTTGCTTCCGCATATTGTTCCTTATACAGTGTATCTGCCCCTTTCCCCTCCCCAGTCATGTGGGTCTCACAGCCCTTGCTCCATCCCTCACCCTAACAGCTACACCACTATTTCATTGCCCTGCAGCCTGAGCTCTAGGGGCCTGAGCCAGCTCACCTGAGCCAGCCGCAGACTTGTCACAAGTCTTTTATTGCAGTGTAGACGTATCCACAAAATCAAGATGCAGGATTTGTTGTCTCTAAACAATCCAAGACAGGCAGCTGTCCAGCATTCTTTTGAAAACCTCCAGTGAAGGAGCTTCCATGACCTCCCTCGGCGTCTGTTCCATTGTCCTCCTGTTCTTACAGTTCGGAAATTTTTCCTGAGATTTAATCTAAATCTGCTGTGCTGTCGTTTGAACCCGTTGCCGCTTGTCCTGCCCTCTGTATCAAAAGAGAACAACTTTTCTCCATCTTTTTATGGCAGCCCTGCAATTATTTGAAGACTGCTATCATGTCCACCCTTACTCTCCTCTTTTCCAAACTAAACATACAGTTCCTTCAGCCTTTGCTCATATGGCTGCATTCCATCCCTTTGATCAGCTTTGTCACTCGCCTCTGGATCCTTTCCAGTTTCTCTCCATCCTTTCTCTACATTCGTGACCAAACCTGGGCAGAGTGCTCCAGCTGAGGCCTAGCAAGCACCAAGTAGAGCGGTACTATCACCTCCCATAACTTGCATGCTAGGACTCTGTTCATGCAACCCAAAATTGCATTTCCTTTTTCTGGAACAGCTTCACAATGCTGACTTGTTTTGAGGTTGTGATGCACCACAGCTCTTAGATCCTTCTCAGCAGTGCTGCTGCCAAGCCAGTTACCCCCCAGTCTGTATTTGGGCATTTGTTTTTTTCTTCCCTAAGTGCAGCACCTTACACTTGTCTTTGTTAAATTTCATTTTTTTGTCTAGAGGCCAGTTCTACAATTTACCAAGATCCCTCTGAATTTTAGCTCTATCCTCCAAAGTGTTTGCACCCTTCCCCACCAGCTTTGTGTCATATGCAAATTTGATCAGTATATTCTCTATTCCTACATCCTGGTCATTAATAAAGATGGTAAAGAACACCGGACACAGAACAGATCCCTGTGGAACCCCACTTGAGACCTCCCTCCAATCTGACACAATTCCATTAATAGCTTCTCTTTGTTTACAGTTCTTTAACCAATTATCTATCCACTTATCTATCCCAAGACCACCTTTCTCAAGATTACTTATGAGAATATTATGTGGGACTGTGTCAAAAGCCAAAAGTTAGACCCAGAGCATGTGAGCAAGAACCAGCCAGCCCAGCACCTGAGCGAGAGAATACTCGGTGCGATCTCAGAGTCCTGGCTTTCTCCATCCAATGTCCCATCTCCAGCCCTTGGCCATCCCTGATGTTTCAAAGGAAGGAGACTCAAAATAAAATCCCTTCCTGACCCCTGCAGATGGCTGGCTGAAACCCTGAAGCATGAGCTTTTAGGAACATAATACATACATTGGAACTAAGCTGTAGTGTATTGGTAAGTTTATTGGATGGAAGGTCTCCATGCTCACATCCACTAACATGCCCCTTCACACAAAGAAAGATCCCACCTCTGCCTTCATTCCCATTAGCTCATACATCATCCTCGGGGGGAAGAGAAAGCTCTAAACCCTGTGAAAGTATCAGGGTATCTGAGATGATATCCCACCAGTCTCTGCACAGGTTTCCTACTCCAAGATGGTTTGTTTGACTGTGGGAAAAGGTCCACAAGTCAGCCCAGGAGGCAGAAATCTATCAGGAGAATACCATGATGTCTCATTCCCCTCTCACTCACCCCATTGTAAATCAGGAGCTTCTCCACTAAGGTCAATAGTGATATTGAATCACTGTAAGTGAGAAAAAAATCTGGCCCTTAGTTGCCATCCCCCAAGCCCTAGTGAGCTCTTGCACACTTGTGTAAATCTGGAGTAATTACAGTGAGATTAGCACAGCTATTCTTGATTTTGGGGCTGTTCCAACACCCATTGATTTAAATGGACAGACGAACTTTGGTTTCAGCAGACACTGGACTGGGTCTTCACAGAGCAACTGAGCTCAGAATCCGCCCCTCTGTGTTCTCCACTGGTTTTACAGCTAATTAACTGTTTAGTGAGCTCATCCTATGATGATTGGATGGTTCTTTAGGGACGAGGGACCCAAGGGGAAGTTAGAAGAAAAAGTGTTTTATGCTCCCCATTTCTGTCACTTCGAGTTAGGTGTAGCAAGGTCTGTAATCATCTCTTAAGCCTCCTGCTTAATTAGCTCTGAAATTCAACATTGTGTGGATACATGTTTTTTTCCCCTAAACTGTCTAATTTGTTACTGATGATATTGCATGTTTCTTGAAGAAATTCCTTGCTCTGAACTATTTTTATAGGTGTATCTTTGTGAGATATAAAACACTGCCTCAAAATATCTGATCTGTTAAATTGTCGAAAAAGTAAGTATTCAGTTGCTCCACTTAAATCATGCCTGCATGCTGTCATTCTAAGTGAGGCAAAGTGATGTCCATTGATTCTCTCTGAAATTCACCATTGTGAGAGTGCAAGAATTTTTCCTAACCTTTCTGATCAATTCCTGATGTTATTACATGCTTCTTGATGTTAAAACTCCTCATTGTCTTTGAATTATTATTTATTTATTATTTAGGTGCATCTTTGGGAGACAGACCACACTGCAGCAAGATAGCTGATTTGTAGAAATTGTGGAAAGCGTAAGTGTTCACTGGACCTTATTTCTTAGATGCCTTCTTCTTTGGTTCAATCCAGTGGCCATTGAAGTAAATGGACAGTTTCCTTTTGATTTGAATGGCAAAATTAGACTTTGTCTACACCGGTATAATTAGAGCAGTTCAACTCCAAGTGTGGATGCAGTTATAGCAGTATAAATGTGCTTACACCATTATTGCATATTGTCATGGTTCCTTCCCCACTCTTAACTCTAGGGTACAGATATGGGGACCTGCATGAAAACCTCCTAAGCTTACTTTTACCAGCTTAGGTTAAAACTTACGCAGGTACAAACTATTTTACCCTTTGCCCTTGGATTTCCACTGCCACCACCAAATGTTTATCTGGGTTTATTTTATTAGGAAAGCATTGTTTGGAAATTGTTGAAATTGAAGCATTGTTTTCCCCCCAAAATCCTCCCAACCTTTGCACCCCACTTTCTGGGGAAGGTTTGGTAAAAATCCTCACCAATTTGCATAGGTGACCACAGACCCAAACCCTTGGATCTTAGAACAATGAAAAAAAAACATTCAGGTCTTGAAAAGAAGAATTTTAATAGAAGTAACAGTAAAAAAGAAGTAACAATAAAAAAAAATCACCTCTGTAAAATCAGGACGGTAAATACCTTACAGGGTAATTAGATTCAAAACAGAGCCCGGAGCCCCGGGGTAGCGGTTGCAGCCGGGAGCCCCCAGGGCTCCTCAGTGATTTAAAGGGCCCAGGGCTCCACTGCGGTAGTGGCAGCTGGAGCTCTGGGCCCTTTAAATCACCCCTGAGCCCCGGGGCTCCCAGCCCCCTCTGCTGCTGGTAGCTCGGGGGTGATTTAAAGGGCCCCGGGCTCCCAGCTGCCGCTACCACATCTGGAGCCTTGGCCCTTTAAATCAAGATTTAAAGGGCCCAGGGATTTAAGGCCATGCCTCTTCCGGTTGAGGCCACGCCCCCTGCTCAGGACTCCAGCATAACGGTAAGTCCTCTAACTTACTTGCACCCCTGGGTACAGACTAACATGGCGGCTACTCTGAAATCTCATTGAGAGTTTCCTTCAACAGTCCCAAAGTAAACCAGAGTAATTAAAATGGAATCAATCCTATGAAGCATTCCTGAATTCCTGATCAGGATTTTATTAGCATTTTTCTCCCCCTTTGCAGTGTCTAAGCAGAACTGAACTGTACATGGCTGGATGTAATGTTAGAAGATATAACAAAAAGATATTTACTGTGATTTCCCATAAATTAGAAGTGTCTGAAAACGAAATCTCCAAATACAAACGTTCCCAATCCCAACTCTGTCACAAAGGACTTGATCCAGCACTCCACTATTGCAGTTTTGCACTGGGGATTTCAATAGAATTACAGGGGTATACAGCTGAAGGGGTTCAGCACTCAGTCACATTGCCGTAGTACCGACATCTGTGAATAGTTCAGCTGCAATCAATGGGTTACTCAAGTTCAAACGTACTGTGAGAGAAAGAATCTGGACTTCAGGGAAAGATGTGGGATCAGATTCTAGCCACAGTCAAACCAGTGTAGGAGTAATTCCACTGAAATGGATAGTGTTCCTCCAGATTTATCTGATATACCTGAGGGCAGAGTTTATGCCTTAGAGAATTTAACCTATTTTCCAAGCAGATAACTATGTTCTTGAGTAGATTTGTTATTCAGAATTGTTCTTCATATGATTGTTATCAATCATTCAGAGCACATGAATCTGCTCTTATTTACACTGTTATAAATCAGGAATAGCTTCACTGAAGTAAATGAGATCACCACTGTTGTGGATAAAAGCCCAATTCTAGTCTTATACAAAATTAAGTTTGCAGCAATCTGTCTATCTAAGTACTCATTATAAAGAATCAGATGTGTTGATTGGTTTTGATTGGACAGAGTGATATCCATTCTTTCCATTACCTAACTGAAAGAGTGTAATGCTTCAAATCTAGCTAGCTAGCTAGCTACATGCCCCCCCCCCTTACTTTCTCTCTCTCTCTGTTGTTAGATGTTTGGCTGTGTGTGTGTGGGTTTTTTTGTGTGCTGCCCCAGCTATGCACAGACAGCTGGCAGAGCATACGTCTAGTGAACCGCCCAATGACCACAAGATTCGTTAAGGTATGAAAGCACCAGGCCAGGTTTATTGTCTCCAAAGCACAGTAATAGCACCTGGCAGTCTGTACGAGGATACTAAGATATGTATGCCCATGACAATGGACACAGCTCAGTGAATGGAGGAACTTTCCATTCCCCCCTCGGCTGGACAAAACAATAGATTAGTTACTGCCCCCTGACCTGGCTAGTTATTACTCATCACCTTATACATGTTGGTTCAATTAAAACATTTTTATTACATACTTTATCCTGACCTTGTCTTTTAGGAGGGGTCAGTGTGTTCCTGGGGGAATGTTTTTGTACCATCCTTGATATCAGAATGTTCTGGTACCACTTAATATTGGAATGTGTTTGTGTAAGTACTCTGTGCTTAGGACTTCTTAGAAATATGTATTTCTGCAGTATCAGCCCTATTCTTGCCAAATTCTGTAAGCAGGTCCTAGCTCATACCAGGCCTCTAATACAAGGGCTTATAAGGCTCTCTTCCTCTTCCTCCTCCTCCTCCTCCTCCCCTCTCTCTCTCTCTCTCTCTCCACCCCAATTTCCTGCCACTTTAATTAATCATGTGTTTAATTCTAGTAAGACATTGTGTATTTTTCTTTGTATTAACCCCACAGATCTGACACTATGTGGCTATGGAGGTTTGGAACACAACAATTGTAACCCACTTCATCATCCTGGGCTTCCCAAGCCTCCAGAAGCTGCAGCTCTTGCTCTTTTTTGTGGGCTTGATCATCTACCTCATGACCTTGTCTGGACATATTGTCATCATCACAATAGTACGTCTCGACCTCCGCCTCCACACCCCCATGTACTTCTTCCTCAGCAACTTCTCCTTCCTGGAGATCTGGTACACCTCCAACATTGTTCCCAAGATGCTGCAGGTCTTCCTGGCCACAGACAGGTCCATCTCATATGCCGGTTGCCTCGCCCAGCTGTACTTCCTCATCACCTTGGGTACAGCTGAGTGCTTCATCCTGGCCATCATGGCCTATGATCGCTACTTAGCCATCTGCAACCCGCTGCGCTACCCGATCCTCATGAACAACAGGGTTTGTGTTCGTCTGGCCATATGCTCTTGGGTAGGTGCCTTTGTTGTCAATGTTCCACCTCTGGTCTCCCTCTGCAAGCTGCCATTCTGTGGGCCCAACGAGATCAACCATTTCTTCTGCGATGCCCCACCCTTGCTGAAACTGTCCTGCAGGGACCCCCGCAAGGCCGAGACAGTCAATTTCATTGTGGCCACCAGCGTCAGCGTCAGCTCCTTCCTTCTAATCGTGGTCTCGTACGTTCTCATCATCGTGACGATCTTGCAGATCCCTTCGGCCCCGGGGCGCCAGAAAGCTTTCTCTACCTGCGGCTCCCACTTGGCTGTGGTGACCATCTTCTTTGGCACCCTGATGTTCATGTATGTGCGGCCGACGTCCAGCTACTCCAAAGACTCAGTCAACTTCAACAAGCTAGTGTCCATGTTCTACACGGTGGTGACGCCCATGCTCAACCCCGTTATATACTGCCTGAGGAACAAGGAGGTTAAAGAAGCTCTGAGGAAAGCAGTGATGGGAAGGTGTGTACTGCTGCCCAAGGCTGGGAACATTCCTAACAGGGGTTGGTAATAGAGGGGAAGGGGAAGCTGAGTATGGCAGGGAGTGCGTGTGTGTGTGTGATGTTAAATAAGTATTCCTCTAAGTCAATATGTTTCATTCCTTTTAACTTAACAAACTTTACTATAGGCTTTCTCTCTCTCTCTCACTCTCTCTCATATGCCGGATAAATCTATCTATCTATCTATCTATCTATCTATCTATCTATCTATCTATCTATCTATCTATCTATCTATCTATCTATCACCAAGCAAACATCCACCCTGCCCCCCCCACACTCTCTCTTTCTAACCTGTTTTCTATAGTGTCTAAGGGACATATCTTTAAAGGTATTTAGGCAAATAGTGGGGTATTCAAAAGCACTTCAGTGCCTAAAAGTCATAGATTTTAATTAGGCCTTGTCTACTGTACAGGGTAAGTTGATGTATGTTACGTAACTTGCGTAACTTAAGTCGACATAGTTTACATCGACTCGCCGCAGTGTCTACCCTGCTCTATGTTGGTGGGAGAGGCTCTCTTATCGACATAGCTTCCGCCTCTCATTGAGGTCATATACTGAAGTTGACGGGAGAGCGCTTTCCCAGCGACTTATTGCATCTTCATCAGACCCGCTAAATCAACACCGCCGCATCAATCACAGCACCGCCAATTTAGCCCCATAGTGAAGACAAATCCTTAGTGTTAGATGCCTAGGTGCATTTGGAAATCCCATGAGTTCCTAAATTTCTTTAAAAATCTGGCCTTGTTTCTATTCGATTGTCTGTCAGTCTATTGTTTGCCACTATGATCTATCCACTATCCTTTCACAGATAGTGACTCTCTCTCTCTCAGTCCATCCAGGGTCTTGTACTACACCCATGATATCTGAACACCTCCCTGCTGGACCATCCTCTTCTCCTCCATTATTATACCATATTGCATAGTTTAAACAGTTATGTATGCAAGCAGATGTTTTAACTATTGTAAAAGTCATTTGCAATTATAAATTTAAATTAATAAATATATCTGTCATCTAGCCAATCTCTCTCTCTCTTTTTCTAATGTGTCTATGAACGTATCATCTGGGAATCCTGAGTGAAATCCTGGCCCCATTAAGGCCTGTTGGTGCATGATCTCACCTGGACTAAGTTATTCTCATTGGGTAGATCTGCCATCTGAGCTGGGAGTGTGGTTCCCCTCGTGGGAGTACAAAGAGCGGTATAGCCATATAGTAGCACTGCTAGTCGCAGCAGGGGCACGGCTGAGCTGTTCCAAGTACAAAACCTGCTGCCCGTGGAACAGCTTCAACAAGAGAGTCAGAGGGAAACCTACAGCAGAATATCCCATAGGCCTCTGGCTAGGACACCCACCCCAGAGGTGGTGGTGGTGGGGGGTGTTCCTCCTCTACTCCTTTCTCCCCTCAGACAGAGAGTGGACTTCACTTGATCCAGAGGCACCCCTTACCCCCTCCTTGGCATCTCCCATTGGCTAGGTTAGATGGCTCCCCGCCTAGCATGCTGGCTAGTATGAATCCCGTTCTGAGGCAGCTATCTCTCCTCATTCATTGGAGAGGGAGCTGAGGTGCCTAACCCAGGCTTTGGGGATCCCAGTGATTTCCTAGGTCCCTACAAGCTAGGTGCTGTCAAGCTCAATATCAAAACACCTAAGTCCCTCTGGGAATCTATCCCCGGGTATCGCCTCCCAGCAATAACTTTGAGTGATGCATGTTGCATTGTTTTCCTAACTGCAAGCTGTAACTAATGTGTTTATGGACATCCAGTGACCTTAACTATTTGAGTCACAAGCAGGGAAAAAACTGATCTTGTAAAGAGTGCAGTGTATTGGAGATCATGGATTCTGGGGTCAATTCTCATCTCCAGCACAGAGTCACGGTGTTACCTTAATAGGTCACTTCAGGCCCAGTTTATAAAGATATTTAGGCACCTAGTGGGAATTTCAAAAGCATTTCAACGGCAATTAGGTGCCTAGGTGCTTCAGAAAACACCATGAGGTGCCTAAATACCTGCAAAATATCTGGCCCTGTGTGCCTCAGTTTACCCTTGAAAAATGAGGATGAAGGTGATAATAATATTCCCACTGCCGAGAGGTGATGGGAGGCTTAGAGCTTGTCTGCACTTGGAATGTCACAGTGGCACATTTGCAGTGCTGTAGCTGTGCTGCTGAAGTTCTTCGGTGTAGACATTACCTGCGCCAACCCTGAGAGGTGGGAGCTCTGTTGACGGAAGAATTCTAGCACTGTCTGCACGAGGCCTAGCACTGTCTGCACGAGGACTCAGATTGGCTTAACTACGCCACTCAGGGGTGTGTTTATATACCTTAACTAATAATCATTCAAGTACATAAAAGGTTGTTACATGGAGGATGGAGAAAATTCTTAGCCTCTGAGGCCAGGACGAGAAGCAATGGACTTAAATTGCAGCAAGGGAGGTTCAGGTTGGACATTAGGAAAAACTTCCTAACTGTCAGGGTGGTTAAGCACTGGAATAAATTGCCTAGGGAGGTTGTGGAATCGCCATCACTGGAGACTTTTAAGAGCAGGATGGACAAACCCCTGTCAGGGATGGGTCTAGATAATACTTTGTCCTGCCATGAGTGCAGGGGACTGGACTAGTCGACCTCTCGAGCTCCCTTCCAGTCCTATGATTCTGTGACTCTATATCAGGACAATATGACAGTATTTTTCAAAGTATAAAACACTTGATCAGATGAACTTGAAATTAAGTAGGGAAGATAGGAAGGGCACCAAGTGTTAGATATATAAGTATTGCTTGCAGTGGTGCTGTAACCAGGTTGGTCCCAGGACATGAATGAGAGTAGGTGGGTGAGGCAATAGCTTGTATGGAACCAGCTTCAATGGAATAGATGAGCTCTGGAGCTAAAAAGAGCTCTTCTTTCAGGACTGGACAAAGTAATCAGAGTGTCCCAGCTAACGACAAGGTGGGACAGATTGATAAAGGTAAGGGGTTACTGTATTGCAGGAAACTAGTTAGAGTGAAGTGGACAATTAACACTTCTGCAGGCATTGGAGAAGAGGTTACAAACTGGGACACTCTGATTGCTTTTTCCAGACAAGAAGAAGAGTGCTGTGTAGCTGGAGAGCTCACCCACCTTGTATCTCTCATTTAAAAACAATCATTTGAAATAAAATCTGTTGCTTCTCATCAAAATTTGTAAAATTCTCACCCATCCTTAATCTGAATGCTGTTGATCATCTCAGGAATATTAACGCCCAAGACTGTTTTACTGACATTTTATTTTTGCTTAGATTTTTGTTTAAAATCAAATGCTCCTTGCAAAACTCTCTTTGTTTGGTTTTTCTACTGGTGTTGCTCTGATACATGCTCCAAGGTGCTTTGTGCCAACGTTATGGTATAAGAACATAGACAGAGAGATGTTTGAAGTATAAGTTGTTTGGAGCCCAGTTCTTCCATTAGGAGGCACTCAAGTCCCAGATCCAGGCTTTGGAATGTTACCCGACTATAGTCTGGAAGGTCAGACCTCGGAGTAATCCACACTACACACAAGAGTACTGAAGGTCAATGGATCAGTGAAACACACCATCCAGTATTTTGGTGTGGTGAGATTTGAGCTTGGATTTGCATTTCATGGCTACTTCTGTGTAAATCTTCTATAAACACAAACACCTACTCCTAAGACCCACACCTCACAAACACAAGCACACTGCACGTAGATGCACAAACACAAACACACAAAACAAAACAATGAGAGACAAATCCCCAGCTGGGGAAAGTCAGTGGAGCTACAGAGATTTACTCCACCTGAGGATCGGCCCACGACGTGTGTTTGTGCATGTTTTTCACTTTCTGAAGGTATGCATTTTGATTTTCTTTGTACATATGCATTTGTGAGTGTGCATGATGGTGTGCTTGTACATTTGAGTGTGTTTGTGTATATATGTTATTTTGAGCATGTCTGTGCTGTGGGTGTTTACACATATGAAACAGAAAAAAACATTCCTTCACCCACTAACTTCCCTGGTCCTTCTCGCATGAACAGAGAGCAACAATACCCGAAGTCCAACGGTGCAAACAATTCGATGTTTATTGGGGTGAACTTCCAGCAATCATGATTCCAGTTTCCTTCCTTAGTGTCCCCCTTCCCAGCTCTGACACCACAGAGCCTTACACCTGTGTCCCTGTTCCCATTCCTGCCCTTAGCGAAACATGATTCCAATTTCCTCAGCCCCATTCCCTGTTCCCATTTCCCCTTTTAGCAAAACATGATTCCAATTTCCTTACCCCCATTCCCTGTTCCCATTTCCCCCACCCGCATGCCCACCCCTACCCCCCTACTTCCTGATTGACTGCAGACTATATAGTAAAACTTGAGTTCTGCTTTGCTATACCTTAACCAATCATGTTCCTGAAATTTAACTAACCAATCCTAACATATTGTAACAGGATTATGTAACCAATTATATCCCACCACCTTAATTAGTTTACACCCAGCAAAATTAATTATACAGCAGACAGAAATAATCACAGAACCAGACAGAGATTATACAGACAAACAATAGCGAAGTGGGAACTATAATGACAAAACAATACAGAAGTGAGGATTTCACATCCCAGCTTTTGAATTTAATTGAGTTCTTTCCAGACAGGATGCTATCAAACTAAGTTTCCTTTTACATTTTCTAGGCACTTCCCTTTCTCTGGAGGTGATAGGCACTATCAGGACAGGATTGTATTCCTAAGAGCCCAATAGCACCTTCTTTCAATGTGACTAGTTTGGAATGTGAGGATGTGACCGTTCGCTTCCCAGTTTATGGGTGCCTCTGTTGCTTAGCCAAAGGCCTTAGCCTAAGAACTGGGCCTCAGACTGTCACAGTAAGAGAAGGACCTTACACTGGCAGACAGTGATTTGATTCTTTCTTTTATACCTCTAGAACTAGCCAAGTGATAAGAATACACCTAAATTTTTAGAGTATAGGCCTTTACAGACAGACCTGAATATCTGTATCCTAACAAACATCCATGAAAGACATAAATACTCATATAAAATCATACCCAATTTTGTAATGTCCATTGAGATCAATGGATTAAAAGTGCTGTAAAAAACAAGTACTATTATTAAGCCAGAAATTTTTGATTTTCTAAAAAAAAAAAAAAAAAATGGTTCATGTACTGGGTTAAACTTTCAACAATAGGGATAACTCACTGTGTCCTTAATTTTAATTTATGCCAAAATCACGGGTTTGAATGTTTAACACAAGCTATTGTATAATGTTAGTGGCTGGAACTAATGCTGGGGGATGAGTGAAAGTAGAGAAACAATATAGTTTTGGGGGGAAAAGGAGTTAATGAGACAATGAAAAATGAATGCATAAAGACAGGGAGAAATGAGGAATGCTGTGAGATAAAAGCCATAGGTTGGAAAAGCAAGGAGAGATTGAGGCTGAATGAAAAATTTAAAGTGAGCGAGACGGAGAGTAACATCTACTTTGAAAGTTTAGTGTCCATGGTACTAGAGTATAGACAGGACCCAGCTATCATTGTAGAAAGGAGATTCTTTCCTGAGGATGCTGGAAACAGACAGATGTTGTGGTTCTCTAGTCCCCAGACTATCACAAAAAATCTTCATTTTTTCAGGCTGGCTAACCTAGTGAGGAGGGCTTTAAACTAGGTTCACCGGGGGAAGGAGACCAAAGCCCTGAGGTAAGTGGGAAAGCGGGATACCGGGAGGAAGCACAGGCAGGAATGTCTGTGAGAGGGAGGGCTCCTGCCTCATACTGGGAATGAGGGGCGATCAACAGGTTATCTCAAGTGCTTATATACAAATGCACAAAGCCTTGGAAACAAGCAGGGAGAACTGGAGGTCCTGGTGATGTCAAGGAACTATGACGTGATTGGAATAACAGAGACTTGGTGGGATAACTCACATGACTGGAGTACTGTCATGGATGGTTATAAACTGTTCAGGAAGGACAGGCAGGGCAGAAAAGGTGGGGGAGTAGCACTGTATGTAAGGGAGCAGTATGACTGCTCAGAGCTCCGGTACGAAACTGCAGAAAAACCTGAGTGTCTCTGGATTAAGTTTAGAAGTGTGTGCAACAAGAGTGATGTAGTGGTGGGAGTCTGCTATAGACCACCGGACCAGGGGGATGAGGTAGATGAGGCTTTCTTCCGGCAGCTCACGGAAGCTACTAGGATCGCATGCCCTGATTCTCATGGGTGACTTTAATTTTCCTGATATCTGCTGGGAGAGCAATACAGCGGTGCATAGACAATCCAGGAAGTTTTTGGAAAGCGTAGGGGACAATTTCCTGGCGCAAGTGCTCGAGGAGCCAACTAGGGGGGGCGCTTTTCTTGACCTGCTGCTCAGAAACCGGGTAGAATTAGTGGGGGAAGCAAAAGTGGATGGGAATCTGGGAGGCAGTGACCATGAGTTGGTTGAGTTCAGGATCCTGACACAGGGAAGAAAGGTAAGCAGCACGATACGGACCCTGGACTTCAGGAAAGCAGACTTCGACTCCCTCAGGGAACGGATGGCCAGGATCCCCTGGGGGACTAACTTGAAGGGGAAAGGAGTCCAGGAGAGCTGGCTGTATTTCAAGGAATCCCTGTTGAGGTTACAGGGACAAACCATCCCGATGAGTCGAAAGAATAGTAAATATGGCAGGCGACCAGCTTGGCTTAATGGTGAAATCTTAGCGGATCTTAAACATAAAAAAGAAGCTTACAAGAAGTGGAAGGTTGGACATATGACCAGGGAAGAGTATAAAAATATTGCTAGGGCATGTAGGAATGTTATCAGGAGGGCCAAATCGCACCTGGAGCTGCAGCTAGCCAGAGATGTCAAGAGTAACAAGAAGGGTTTCTTCAGGTATGTTGGCAACAAGAAGAAAGCCAAGGAATGTGTGGGCCCCTTACTGAATGAGGGAGGCAAACTAGTGACAGAGGATGTGGAAAAAGCTAATGTACTCAATGCTTTTTTTGCCTCTGTCTTCACTAATAAGGTCAGCTCCCAGACTGCTACGCTGGGCATCACAAAATGGGGAAGAGATGGCCAGCCCTCTGTGGAGATAGAGGTGGTTAGGGACTTTTTAGAAAAGCTGGACGTGCACAAGTCCATGGGGCCGGACGAGTTGCATCCGAGAGTGCTGAAGGAACTGGCGGCTGTGATTGCAGAGCCATTGGCCATTATCTTTGAAAACTCGTGGCGAACCGGGGAAGTCCCGGATGACTGGAAAAAGGCTAATGTAGTGCCAATCTTTAAAAAAGGGAAGAAGGAGGATCCTGGGAACTACAGGCCAGTCAGCCTCACTTCAGTCCCTGGAAAAATCATGGAGCAGGTCCTCAAAGAATCAATCCTGAAGCACTTGCATGAGAGGAAAGTGATCAGGAACAGCCAGCATGGATTCACCAAGGGAAGGTCATGCCTGACTAATCTAATCGCCTTCTATGATGAGATTACTGGTTCTGTGGATGAAGGGAAAGCAGTGGATGTATTGTTTCTTGACTTTAGCAAAGCTTTTGACACGGTCTCCCACAGTATTCTTGTCAGCAAGTTAAGGAAGTATGGGCTGGATGAATGCACTACAAGGTGGGTAGAAAGCTGGCTAGATTGTCGGGCTCAACGGGTAGTGATCAATGGCTCCATGTCTAGTTGGCAGCCGGTATCAAGTGGAGTGCCCCAAGGGTCGGTCCTGGGGCCGGTTTTGTTCAATATCTTCATAAATGATCTGGAGGATGGTGTGGATTGCACTCTCAGCAAATTTGCGGATGATACTAAACTGGGAGGAGTGGTAGATACGCTGGAGGGGAGGGATAGGATACAGAAGGACCTAGACAAATTGGAGGATTGGGCCAAAAGAAATCTGATGAGGTTCAATAAGGATAAGTGCAGGGTCCTGCACTTAGGACGGAAGAACCCAATGCACAGCTACAGACTAGGGACCGAATGGCTAGGCAGCAGTTCTGCGGAAAAGGACCTAGGGGTGACAGTGGACGAGAAGCTGGATATGAGTCAGCAGTGTGCCCTTGTTGCCAAGAAGGCCAATGGCATTTTGGGATGTATAAGTAGGGGCATAGCGAGCAGATCGAGGGACGTGATCGTTCCCCTCTATTCGACATTGGTGAGGCCTCATCTGGAGTACTGTGTCCAGTTTTGGGCCCCACACTTCAAGAAGGATGTGGATAAATTGGAGAGAGTCCAGCGAAGGGCAACAAAAATGATTAGGGGTCTGGAACATATGAGTTATGAGGAGAGGCTGAGGGAGCTGGGATTGTTTAGCCTGCAGAAGAGAAGAATGAGGGGGGATTTGATAGCTGTTTTCAACTACCTGAAAGGGGGTTCCAAAGAGGATGGCTCTAGACTGTTCTCAATGGTATCAGATGACAGAACGAGGAGTAATGGTCTCAAGTTACAGTGGGGGAGGTTTAGATTGGATATTAGGAAAAACTTTTTCACTATGAGGGTGGTGAAACACTGGAATGCGTTACCTAGGGAGGTGGTAGAATCTCCTTCCTTAGAGGTTTTTAAGGTCAGGCTTGACAAAGCCCTGGCTGGGATGATTTAACTGGGAATTGGTCCTGCTTTGAGCAGGGGGTTGGACTAGATGACCTTCTGGGGTCCCTTCCAACCCTTATATTCTATGATTCTATGATTCTATGATTCATCTGCTCCCTTTTTCCCAGGCTCCCCTAAAAGCAAGGCAGATTTTGTCACACTTTCAAAGCCATCATTTTTGACTCGGTTTAAATTAATGCATAACAAGTTCACCCAGTATTTATTAAAACCCCCTAGCAATAACAGGAACTGTAGGTAAAATGGGAGCTTTTGAAAACATTACCATACATAATTACAAAAGAAACCATTAGTTCATTGATAGTATCTAACAGTTTTATGGCTAATTTTTGCTACTATTGATTTCAAAGGACTTTAGAAATGTAGTGTTCTTATCATTTTCCTGTTTTACATATGGAGTGGGGAAAGTGGAGGTTACATGGATTTTTGAAGCTTCAAGAGACACTTGTGACATCCGGCACATCACAAGTCCTGGAATTCCACCCAATAATTCCTGCATCTAGTCCAAAAAATGTGTTGCTGTGGTAGAGCATATCATTCAGAGAGACACCCAGTCTTGATTGCAGGTTTTACAGTGCTGGGGAATCAACCAACTCATCTGTCAAATTGCCCCACTGTTTAATTGTCCCCGGTGTTAAAGGTAAAAGGCCAGTATTTCAAAGAATGGCCACCAAACGGCAGTGGGATCACTCAGAGCAGATGAGACCTCTCACCATGACTAAAGGTGGTAGAACCAGTCTCACAACTTGTGAGGTTCATGGGACTGGTAAGTTCACACATCCCTATTTATTTTTGCCATGATCTCCATGCTGTGAATGGTACTCCATAAAAAAATCAAATCAAATTCATTCTTCCGTCTCTCTTCTTGATCACTTACAACAAAAAAATTGACATGCACAAATAATAGTGGCAAGAACTTACTATGCTTTATCTATGTAGCATTCATGCAGGGTTCATGCACTTGGCAACATTCAGGGCACACCCTGAGTGTTGTGTAGGAGCAGTGCACACACGGCTCCTCTCAAGGGCATGAACCTTGGAAACTCGCCCAGATGACATGAACCGTGGGAAGCCTCCCAGGACTGGGCTCAAGGCCCGAGAGCAAGGAATGCAGTAGATAGAAATTGGTAAATAAGAAAGTTAAACAAAGCCAGTGTATTCCTTTTATCTGTTGGAGTATGTAATGCGCAGGAGGAGAAAAGGAATAAAAGAGAGGGTGGAAAGCTGACAAGGCAGACCAGCCTGCTTGCTTGCTTAAAGCCTTGTTCTGTCTTGTATTTGGACCGCAACAACTGGCGCCCAAACGTGGGGCCCTCAGCACTCACCTCGCCCGGCAAGGGTTTCAGACGCATCACTCATCCGCTTCACGGATCCCGGTGAGTATTTTTCGTTGTGGTAAGTATAGGAAGCTCCCTCTCTGCTTTGCAAGTGCAACACCGCAGTGAGCTACAGTATTTGCTGCGTAAGGCTCAGCATGATTGCCCCACTCGAGAACTCACTCTCCTGCTACAGGAGGTGAGTGCTCAATGCCCGTGGTACCCTGAAGCCAGAACCCTTAAGCTAGCGGACTGGGAGCGGTTGGGCTAGACATTGCACAAAGAGCCTCGGGCACCCGTGCAGGCTTTACATGCCTGGCACCTCTGCCGTGATGCGATACAGCGTGTCACCTCGGAAAGGCCCTCCCTCATGCCAAGAGAGAGGCTGGTGATCTCGCCACTCCCATCCGCTCCTGCAGCCATCCCCCCTCCTGGCGATGCGACACAGCGTGTCGCTTCGGAAAGACCCTCTCCCGCGCCAATAGAGGGGCTGCCGATCTCGCCACCCCTGTCCGCTCCTGCAGCCATCCCTCCCCCTGCTTCACCCCCAGTGCCTCAATTACTGCCGCCTCCTTTGTCTTCCCCTCTGGAGCCAGTGAGTGGTCACTGTCCCCCCGTGGGGCCCCATGCTCTGGGGCCCCCCGGGGGGTCGTCCGCGTCTGTTCAGGGGCTTTCGCTGGTGCAACAAATGGTTCACGCAGCGAAGACTCGCCCAGATCTTACAGCAGAGGAATTAGCTAATCTGGTCTCAGTTTGCCCAGTGACCTGGCAGGATGATGGCCAGAGCAACCAGCTTGCAAACTGGGTCAGTTTGCCTTACTCGGTGATCAGAGAGGTAAAGAAAGCTATTCGCGAGTTTGGCCTCACTAGCACCTATGTACGTGGTGTCCTTGAAGGGCTAGGTACTGGCTACACCCTGGTCCCTGAAGATCGGAAGGCGCTGTTGCACATGATGCTGACGCCCAGTCAGTATGTTATTTGGCTTAGTGAGTATCGGCAGATGGCGGAACACCAAGCCCAGGTATATATAGTGCAAGGTGTCACTTATGAGCAGTTAGCAGGGGAGGGCCCATTTGCTACCGTTCAGATGCAGTCTCAACTCCAGCAGGCTGTCTTCCCCATTATTTCTGCCTGCGCCCAGCATGCTTTCCGGAAGGTCCCAGATTCAGGAAAGCCTACCAAAAGCTTTGCCAGTATCCGTGGGTGCATCAGAGTCCTTTATGGATTTTACCTACAGATTGCAGGAGGCTATCCTCCGACAGGTGGATAACCCTGTGGCAGCTCAGGAGATTCTGTTAAAAATGGCAGTTGAAAATGTGAATGAGGATTGCCGCCGTGCTCTCCAGGCGGCACAAGCCGCTGGCGTTCTAGAGCTGTTGAACATGTTGTGGGCATGCCAAAACATGGGCACACAAGCACATAAAGCTGGGGTTCTGGCCGCTGCCCTGTGGAAAAGCGGGAAGGAGGGGAAGCGTTGTTATCGCTATGGTAAGGAGGGTCACTTTCAGCAGGAGTGCCGCTCATCGACGGCGCCTGCCTGCCCCTCAAAGAAGTGCCCCAAGTGTCGGAAGGGCTATCACTGGGCTAATCAGTGTCGTAGCGGGTCGGGAAACTGCACGACGGGTCCCCCCCGAACCCAGGGCCAAACGGGGGTGTTCCCCACTCAGACAACTGTTCCTCTGCCTTAAAATCCATAGACTCCATGAGGGCAGTGACTGCCGGAAGTGCAGGGCTTGATTTGATTATGCAGGAGGACGCTGATTTTCAGTTGCCGGGGGAGGTTTGCGCCATACCTACACAGGTGACGGGACCTCTCCCTGCAGGATTTGAGGGTCTGGTTCTCCCTCGCTGACACGCTGGGAAACAGGGTTTTTTTGTCATCCCAGGGGTCATTGACGCCGATTACACCGGTGTTATTAAGGTTCAGGTGTGGACCCATCTTCCGCAGTTGCTCCCGCATGGACGGTCAATTGCACAATTGATTTTAGTCCCCTATCAGGTGCCAGCCGCAGAGGATCAAGCCCGGGGCGGAGGTGGCTTTGGATCGACGTTGTCTCAGTCGCCACCTCACAACATGTCCTCTCAATTTGTTGGTCTAACAATGTCGCTCCGCCCCTTGAAACCTCAGTTAACACTTCTTTTAAATAATTTTCCTTTTACAGGGCTGGTGGACACTGGAGCTGACGTTACGGTGATTCGTGATCAGGACTGGCCGGTCGGTTGGCCAACAGTTCCTTCTAAAGAGTTGTGGGTAGCGGGAGTAGGAAACCCGGGCGCCAAAGTTTGTCTTGGGTCACAATCTCTAAACCAGGAGGCCGTGCCCTTGCTATGATCCGCCCTTTTGTGCTCCCTGTCCACCTCAATATTTGGGGCTGTGACTTACTTGTAAAGCTGGACACCACCCTCGATATTAATATATAATGGCCCCAAACTCTCCCCCACCCACCTTGCCCTCTTCATTACCATTGGTATGGCAATCCTTAGAGCCCGTATGGATTGACCAGTGGCCCCTCCCCCTAGAAAAGCTGAAAGCGCTTCATTCACTTGTACAACAACATTTGCATGCACAGCGCTTGGAAAGCTTCACTAGTCCTTGGAACTAGCTGCTGTTATTTTGGCCTTTCAATTTTTTGCTGATTGTCCCTTTAATTTGATTGTGGACACGCATTATGTTTATCAGGTAATCGATCATTTACCCCTTGCCCTCAATACCCCTCAGATTGATGCGGACCTCCTCCGCCTGTTTTTGTCCTTACAGTATTTCCTCACCACTCGTAATTTCCCTTATTTTGTTGCTCATATTCGCAGTCATACCTCTCTGCCTGGGCTACTCACTGAGGGCAATGCGCGCGCTGATCGCGCGTTACGTGGTCAGATAAATTCCCTTTTTTCTGACCCCATCGAAAGTCATTCCTTTTTTCATCAGTCTGACTCTGTTTTGGCCCGACAATTTCACATTCCTGCTGATCATGCACATTCTATTGTTCGTTCCTGCCCCCACTGTGCCGCTGCTGCCCCTACCTTTTCTTATGCCGTTAACCCCAGAGGTACCGCAGCGAATCAGCTGTGGCAAATGGATGTCACTCACGTGCCACAATTCCGCCCCTATTCGTTTTTACATGTTTCCATTGATACCTATTCGGGATTCCTCTGGGAGACCCCACAGCATGGGGAAGCCACTCCCAAAGTTATTCACCATTTGCTAGCCTGTTTCGCTGTTATGGATTGCCCGAGCCAGATAAAAATGGATAATGCCCCAGCCTATTGCTCCACAGCCCTCTCCACCTTTTGTGCCCAATGGGACATCCATCTCAAACATGGGATCCCTTATAACTCCACGGGCCAAGCTATTGTTGAACGTGCAAATCGCATGCTAAAAACTTTGCTTGACAAACAATTAAAACAAGGGGAGCTGCGTCTCTGAAACTTAGGAGACATTCAGCAACAATTGCATGTCCTTTTGTTTACTTTAAATAATTTAACATTGAATACAGATCAGCAGACCCCCGCAGATTGGCATTTTCATAAGTCCGAGGTACTGGAAAGACCGCGTGTCTATTACCGTCAGCTGCCCGATCTGCAATGGTTGGGCCCAGTACCTTTAATTACTTGGGGTCGGGGATATGCTGCTGTGTCTCTCCCTGCAGGACCGTTGTGGGTTCCGGCCCGGTGTGTGCGACCGGCACTGAAACAGCATGGCGTGGCACCAGGGGCTGTCGAACCCCATACCGGAGTTTCAGCTGATCTTGGAGGAGAACGCGGTGCCTCCCGGGTCGCCAATGGCGGGATGGAGATGGAGGAGACGCAGCGTCCCAAGCCAGCCCGTGACATGGGGAGCAGTGAAAGCATTGGTTGCCGCGGCTCAATGAAGACTGGCAGCAAACCAACAGCCAGAGACTCCTGAGACTCTGTTTGTGGCCATTCTCACCCAAATCACTGCTAATTCTGTACTGATTGTGTGCCTTATGTGCCTGCTATTTCCTGTAGTGGTTGACTCTGGAGCGCCTCCTCCGTTACGGGCCTGAATGACATATAACCTATGGGAAAGATTGGCTTCAATAGCAAATGTTACCCACTTTTGTTTATCTGATTTTGTAGCAGCTGAAGAATTGTTAGGTACGTGTCTTATTCCAGTATGTCATCACCCTGAGGAAATAGGGAATGAGACGATGCTCACTGCTTACGCGAACCTCTCTTCCCAGTACTCTAGCATGGCTAATTGGGGCCCGGCCAACTACACTTTACCTTCTTGGGCTTATTTTTTGCTGTTGCTGTGTGCAATGTATTTCCTTTTTGTTAAGGCTTTGTCGAGACCCGCCCTGGCAGGCTCCACGAGTTATGACCTTGTCTGTCCGGTAGTTAATGGCTTGCAAGAGCAAATTGATGCCCACCATGAGATGGCCGAGCACAAATAAACAAAAAAGGAGGGGATGTAGGATTCATGCAGGGTTCATGCACTTGACAGTATTCAGGGCACACCCTGAGTGTTGTGTAGGAGCAGTGCACACACGGCTCCTCTCAAGGGCATGAACCTTGGAAACTCGCCCAGATGACATGAACCATGGGAAGCCTCCCAGGACTGGGCTCAAGGCCCGAGAGCAAGGAATGCGGTAGATAGAAATTGGTAAATAAGAAAGTTAAACAAAGTCAGTGTATTCCTTTTATCTGTTGGAGTATTTAATGCGTAGGAGGAGAAAAGGAATAAAAGAGAGGGTGGAAAGCTGACAAGGCAGACCAGCCTGCTTGCTTGCTTAAAGCCTTGTTCTGTCTTGTATTTGGACCGCAACATATCTATATATCTTTTCCACAACTATACACTTTCTCTCACCATCAAGTGATTTAGACAAAAATTCAGGAAAAAGGGGCAGTTGGAGTCCCTGTTTCCCCAAAATATTCCTCCAAGTCCCTTCACTCCCTTTCCTGGGGAGGCTTGAGAATAATATACAATGTGACCACAGACCAAACCCCTTGGTTTTTAGAACACTGAAAATTAATCAGGTTCTCAAAAGAAGAATTTCATTTTTTAAAAAAGTAAAAGAATCGCATCTGCAAAATCAGGATGGAAGGTAACTTTACAGGGTAAATAAAAAGATTTAAAACACAGAGGATTCCCCTCTGACTCTGCTTCCCAGTTACAAAATAGGAATGAAATTACCTCTTAGCATAGGGAAAATTCACAAGCTAAAACAAAAGATAATCTCATGCATTTCTGTGCATTAGTTACAATTTTTATAATCTTAGATGCTCATTTCAGGTATGTTTTTAGGAGATGTTTTTCCTGCCTGCCCTCTCTTTGTTCAGAGAGGGAACAAACAAAGAGAGCACAAACAAAACCTTCCCCCCCCCCCACCCCAGATCTGAAAGAATTTTCTTTCCCCATTCATCTTTCTGGTCAGGTGCCAACTAGGTTAATTGAATTGATTAACCCCTTACAGGTAAGGCAATTCAGTACAGCTGCCCTGTGTATATTTATGACAGGGTCTTAAACATTTAAGGATGGAGATTCCACCACCTCCCTAGGTAACCTATGCCAGTGCTTCACCATCCTCCTAGTGAAATAGTTTTTCCTAATATCCAAACTAGACCTCCCCCAATGCAACTTGAGACCCTTGCTTCTTCTTTTGTCATCTGCCATCACTGAGAACAGCCTAGCTCCATCCTATTTGGAACCCTGTGAAGACCGAGGCAAAAAAAAAATTGAGTACTTCAGCTTTTTCCACATCTGTCATAGAATCATACAATCATAGAAAATCAGGGTTGGAAGGGACCTCAGGAGGTCATCTTGTCCAACCCCCTGCTCAAAGCAGGACCGATCCCCGATTAAATCATCCCAGCCAGGGCTTTGTCAAGCCTGACCTTAAAAACTTCTAAGGAAGAAGATTCCACCACCTCCCTAGGTAACCCATTCCAGTGTTTCACCACCCTCCTAGTGAAAAAGTTTTTCCTAATATCCAACCTAAACCTCCCGCACTGCAACTTGAGACCATTACTCCTTGTTCTGTCATCAGCTACCACTGAGAACAGTCTAGAGCCATCCTCTTTGGAACCTCCTTTCAGGTAGTTGAAAGCAGCTATCAAATCCCGCCCCCTCATTCTTCTCTTCCGCAGACTAAACAAGCCCAGTTCTCTCAGCCTCTCCTCATAACTTATGTGTTCCAGACCCCTAATCATTTTTGTTGCCCTCCGTTGGACTCTTTCCAATTTTTCCACATCCTTCTTGTAGTGTGGGGCCCAAAACTGGACACAGTACTCCAGATGAGGCCTCACCAGGGTCGAATAGAGGGGAACTATCACATCCCTCTATCTGCTGGCAATGCCCCTACTTATACACCCCAAAATGCCATTGGCCTTCTTGGCAACAAGGGCACACCATTGACTCATGTCCAACTTCTCGTCCACTGTACCCCCTGTTAGGATATAGATATTCAGGCCTGTCTGCAAAGGCCTGTACTTTAAGAATTTAGGTGTATTCTTATCACTTGGCTAGTTCCAGAGGTATAAAAGAAAGAATCAAAACCACTGTCTGCCAGTGTAAGGGCCTTCTCTTACTGTGACAGTCTGAGGCCCTGTTCTTAGGCTAAGGTCTTTGGCTAAGCAGCAGAGGCAGCCATAAGCTGGGAAGCGAACGGTCACATCCTCACATTCCAAACTAGTCACACTGAAATAAGGTGCTATTCGGCTGTTAGGAATACAATCCTGTCCTGATAATTCCTATCACCTCCAGAGAAAGGGAAGTGCCTAGAAAATGTAAAAGGAAACTTAGTTTGATAGCATCCTGTCTGGAAAGAACTCACTTATCAATAGCTGGGATGTGAAATCCTCACTTCTGTATTGTCTTGTCATTATAGTTCCCACTTTGCTGTTGTTTGTCTGTATAATCTCTGTCTGGTTTTGTGATTGTTCCTGTCTGCTGTATAATTAATTTTGCTGGGTGTAAACTAATTAAGGTGGTGGGATATAATTGGTTACATAATCCTGTTACAATATGTTAGGATTGGTTAGTTAAATTTCAGGAAAATGATTGGTTAAGGTATAGCTAAGCAGAACTCAAGTTTTACTATATAATCTGTAGTCAATGAGGAAGTGACTGGGTGGGGGTGGGGGTGGGCATGTGGGTGTGTGAGATGGGAACAGGGAATGGGGGTAAGAAAATTGGAATCATGTTTTGCTAAAGGGGGAAATGGGAACAGGGAATGGGAGTAAGGAAGTTGGAATCATGTTTGGCTAAGGGTAGGAATGGGAACAGGGACACAGGCGTAAGGCTCTGTGGTATCAGAGCTGGGAAGGAGGATACTAAGGAAGGAAACTGGAATCATGCTTGCTGGAAGTTCACCCCAATAAACATCAAATTGTTTGCACCTTTGGACTTCGGGTATTGTTGCTATCTGTTCATGCGAGAAGGACCAGGGAAGTAAGTGGGTGAAGGAATAAGCCCCCTAACAAACCCTAGGTCCTTTTCTGCAGAACTGATGCCGAGCCATTCGGTCCCTAGTCTGTAGCGGTGCATTGGATTCTTCTGTCCTAAGTGCAGGACTCTGCACTTGTCCTTGTTGAACCTCATCAAATTTCTTTTGGCCCAGTCCTCCAATTTGTCTAGGTCCCTCTGTATCCTATCCCTAACCTCCAGCATATCTACCTCTCCTCCCAGTTTAGTGTCATCTGCAAACTTGCTGAAGGTGCAATCCATGCCATCCTCCAGATCATTTATGAAGATATTGAACAAAACCAGCCCCAGGACCGACCCTTGGGGCACTCCACTTGATAGCGGCTGCCAACTAGACATGGAGCCATTGATCACTACCCGTTGAGCCCGACAATCTAGCCAGCTTTCTATCCACCTCATTGTCCATTCATCCAGCCCATACTTCTTTAACTTGCTGGCAAGAATACTGTGGGAGACAGTGTTAAAAGCTTTGCTAAAGTCAAGGAATAACACGTCCACTGCTTTCCCTTCATCCACAGAGCCAGTTATCTCATCATAGAAGGCAATTAGATTAGTCAGGCATGACTTGCCCTTGGTGAATCCATGCTGACTGTTCCTGATCACTTTCCTCTCCTCTAAGTGTTTCAGAATTGATTCCTTGAGCACCTGCTCCATGATTTTTCCAGGGACTAAGGTGAGGCTGACTGGCCTGTAGTTTCCCAGATCCTCCTTCTTCCCTTTTTTAAAGATGGGCACTACTTTAGCCTTTTTCCAGTCATCTGGGACCTCCCCCGGCCGCCATGGGTTTTCAAAGATAATGGCCAATGTCTCTGCAATCACATCTGCCAACTCCTTTAGCACTCTCGGATGCAACGCATCCGGCCCCATGGACTTGTGCATGTCCAGTTTTTCTAAATAGTCACTTGATTGCCTCCCCCATTCAATAAGGGTCCCACACTTTCCCTAACCTTTTTGTTGCTAACATACCTGTAGAAACCCTTCTTTTTACCCTTCACATCCCTTGATAGATGCAAATCCAATTGTGCTTTGACCTTCCTGATTACACCCCTACATGCTCAAGCAATATCTTTATACTCCTCCCTAGTCATCTGTCCAAGTTTCCACTTCTTGTAAGCTTCCTTTTTGTTTTTAAGCTCACCAAAGATTTCTCTGTTAAGCCAAGCTGGTCATCTGCCATATTTACTATTCTTTCTGTATGTCGGTATGGTTTGTTCCTGTACCATCAAAAAGGCTTCTTTAAAATACAGCCAGCTCTCCTGGACTCCTTTCCCCCTCATGTTAGCATCCCAGAGGATCCTGCCCATCAGTTCCCTGAGCAAGTCAGTGGCTGCTTTTCTGAAGTCCAGGATCTGTATTTTGCTACTTTTCTTTCTTCCTTTTGTCAGGATCCTGAACTCAACCATCTCATGGTCGCTGCTGCCCAGGTTGCCACCCACTTCTACTTCCCCTATGAATTCTTCCGTGTTTGTGAGCAGCAGGTGAAGAGAAGCATGGCCTCTCGGTGGTTCCTCCAGCACTTGCACCAGGAAGTTGTCCCCAACACTCCAAAAACTTCCTGGATTGTCTGTGCACCGCTGTATTGCTCTCCCAGCAGATATCCAGGTGATTGAAGTCTCCCATGAGAACCAGGGCCTGTGATCTAGTAACTTCTGTGAGTTGCCGGAAGAAAGACTCGTCCACCTCATCCCCCTGGTCTGGTGGTCTATAGCAGACTCCCACCACAACATCACCCTCATTTCTCTTGCCTCTAAACTTAATCCAAAGACTCTCAACAGGTTTTCTCCAGTTTCATACTGGAGCTCTTAGAAGTCATACCGCTCTTACATACAGTGCAAGTCCTCCACCTTTACTCCCTCGCATGTCCTTCCTGAACAGTTTATACCTATCCATGACAGTGCTCCAGTCATGTGCGTTATGCCACCAAGTCTCTGTTATTCCAGTCATAGATAGATGTTGTATATGGTCCAAATCCTAGTGTTCCTGCATCTCTTTTAATTCAAGGGATCTTTCTTATCTACATTGGCTTAAAGAGGAGAGAGAAGCTTCAGTGAAGTCTCAGTAAAATCGAATATAGGCTGCAACATTGGGATACCATTTATTTATTTATTTATTTATTTATTATCTTAGGATAAAAATGTAGAAGAGATATTCCTGCTTCCAGGTATTAGCCAACCCCAAAGTGATAAGGATTATGTTACATTAGAAGTGGGCATGTTATTACATATTTTTTCACCTTCCTCTGAAATCCTGGTACTGGCCACTGTCACAAGGTACTGGTCTAGATGAACAAGTGGTCTGATCCAGTCTGGCTGTTCTATATCCCTGTGTAGATTGGATGAGTAATTTTCAACCAATGAGTTATTCACGATTGTTTCCCTTCAACAGCCTGCTATACTTACAGTGTCTGGCTGGTCATCAAAGCTACATAATATCATCCTCTCTCTATCAAGGGAGCAGTAAGATCTGCATATACCTACCACACAAACCTTAATGATGCCATCATTTAGTATTTTTACCCTGGTCTGCCCTTCCCCTTCTCTCAATTATTCGATAAACCCACTTAACTGCCAGCAGTTGTCATGCTATTCATGCTAGGTGAACACCTAGGTAGAAAGTCAGTGCAGCACTTTCCAATAAACCTTCAGATAGGTGTTTGGTTGTCCATAGATCTTGGGTTAGTCATTTGAACAAGGACACACTAGATCCATTGCTGTACACTTTATGACCTTTGACTCAGAGTTTCAAGACTATCTAGAGGGTTTAGATACCCAGCGGTCATTGGAATTCAATTGTTGGGGAGTGGGCACATAACTCAGTTAGGCACCTTTGAAAACCCCCATCCTCACATCTGTTAATGTTTGTGTTGTCTTTCTCTTTACAGGTTATCATTTTGCTCAACAAACCAGCATGGAAAATCAAACCACAGTGACTGAGTTTATTCTTATGGGACTCGCCAGTGACCCACAGCTCCAGATTTTCCTCTTCCTGGTGTTTTTGGTTATTTACCTAATCACCCTGCTGGGGAACATGCTGATCATGCTAGTGATAAGGGCTGACCCTCACCTACACACCCCCATGTGTTTTTTCTTGAGTAACTTATCCTTTGTAGATATCTGCTATTCCTCCATTACCATCCCAAAGATGCTGGTGAACTTCCTAGCAGAGCAGAAAACTATTTTTATTGGCAGCTGCCTCATCCAGATGTTCTTCTTTCTGGCATCAGGAACGACAGAGATCTTCATGCTCTCAGCCATGGCTTATGATCGCTATGAAGCAATATGCCATCCCTTGAACTACATACAAAACATGAGCAAATGGGTCTGTATCCAGCTTGCCAGAAGGGCATGGGCAATAGGATTTACTCTTGCACTGGTAAATACCCTTCTTGTCCTAAGAGTGCACTTCTGTAAATTCAACAAAATCAACCATTTTTTGTTGTGAAATCCCTCCTGTTCTGCATATCTCAAGCAGTGACACCTTGGCCAATGAGGCCATATCCAGCGTTATTGTGGGACTGGGTTCGTCATCAGTAATCATTGTGTCTTATATTCTCATCATCTCCACCATCCTCAGAATCTGCTCCACCGAGCGGCGGCACAAAGCCTTTTCCACCTGCAGATCCCACCTGACTGTGGTTCTATTATTCTACTTAACAGCATTTTTTAAGTACCTGAGACCAGCCTCAGGATCCTTCCTCGAAAAAATAGTTACTGTGCAGTACAGAATCTTAACCCCTATGCTAAACCCCTGGAAATCACAGAGGTAAAGACCGCCCTGCGGAAAGTCCGAGAGAAAGACCTATGTTTTCCAAGCACAATGGGGCCAAAATAATTGTTTAATAAAGGTGCATCCATGTATGCCAGTAAAACCCTGGTTCTGTTTATCTATATGAGTATTGCAGAGTGAAAATTAGAATTTTCTTCCCATGGGAAATTCTAGTATTTCAACATGTGTTTTTTTGCCCTGAAAACACAAACACACCCCTATATCTATATTGACATAGAGACAGAAATAGTGAAATGAAAGGTTCTGAAAGTTTTCAGTTTGGAAATAATGAGATATTTTACTTTGGCCTTTTTCAATTGAAAGAAAACATTTCATTGTTCCTGAGTTGAAATATTTTGCTTCTCCTTGTTGAATTGACTTTGAAACAAAGTGGTTTGAGTCAATTCAGCATTAATCTGTGTTTCCTTATGGCCATGCACAGCCCCAGGGGAGCTGTAGTTTGGGTTACTAATGCCTCTGTTCTCTGTTAAGGTATGTCTACACAGCAACTAGACACCCATGGCTGGCTGGTGCTAGCAGACTTGGGGTCACAGGGACTGTAACATTGCTGTGTAGCCATCTGGGATCAGGCTGCAGCCTGGGTCCTAGAACCCTGTGGGGTGGGAGGGTCACAAAGCTTGGGCTCCAGATCGAGCCCCCAGGTCTACACAGCAGTGAGCCATCCCCGCAGCCTGCGTGCTACAAACCCAAGTCAGCCGGCATGGGCCAGCTGCAGGATTTTCTTTGCTCTGCAGACATACCCTTATAGGCCAGGTTCCCTGGTCAGATTACAATTTGCATTTGCAGTGACGTGACTTCTGTGGAGCATGATGAGGGGTGGTGAAACAAAGAATGCTGTTAGCACTTGTGAGAAGAAGGAGAATAATAATAAGTGGTGGTAGTGTTAGAGAGTTGGATTTTCAGAGGAGCCGAAGGGAGGTGGACAGTCAAATAACTTGAAATCAAAAGGGAATTTAAATACAAACTCCCTGATGCTCATTTGAAAAGGTCTGTCTCAGCCAAAGAGTCAAAAGTGTTAACATGACCCTGTAACTGTCCAACATTAAAGAGTGTTAAACACTGTTCGGGATTTGGTAATACAGAGACCTAAGACTGTTCGGTATCATGGCAAACACACAATTAAAAATCTTTTAAAC